CTTCTTTTTGTTTTTGTTTTTTTTCAGACAGGGTTTCTCTGTGTAGTATTGGTGCCTCTCCTGGATCTCGCTCTGCTGACCAAGCCTCAAACTCACAGAGACTCGCCTGGCTCTGACTCCCAAGGCCTGGAATTAAAGGCACACACAACCACTGCCCGGCTCCTCCTTTGGTTTTATGCAGCCCCTGCTTTGACTTTTCTCGGTCTCCTGCCCTGCAATTCTGGGGATGGAACTTAGATCCTTGTGCATGCATGCTTGGTAAGTGTTCCACTATGGAGCTACATCCCCAGACAGGTATCCAGCATGCTTCCTCAAGAAGTGCAAAACTGTGACTTTGACCTCCTAGTTGGGCAAAACCCTCTCTCAAGTCCAGCTGTTGATTGTGTGTGGCTCAGGTGGGGACTCAGGACTCCTGGCTTGACTCCCTTCCTGACAGGAGACCACGAACTGTGTCTCCACTCCTTCATCTCTGAAGAGGCCTATGCAGGTTGGGTTCAAACTCTAATCCAGCAAGAGCCCGTTGTGCCAAGTGCTTGGCTGCCTCCCGAGAGCAGAGTCGAGGTCTCCTTGTGCCTCAGAGGGACAACTACTGTCCTGTTACATGGAAAGGATGACATTCTCATCAGGCAGGTCCTCACAGTGACAGATGGCATGGGTTACAGCTGGGGCAGAATTGGTGACACAGGGAGGAAGGCATGGTGTGTGGGGAGTCCATTATGTTTCCTCCAAAGAGGTGGCTGACACCAGCTAAACATGGAAAGCCATGTCAGTGATGGACACATGGTGACAGAAGAGACCACATTGCTCTTTGGGGCACCTGCTGTGGCCCCTGCTCTTGTTTGTCTCAGCTGACTTTTCCAGTCAACCACCAGAGAAGGTCCTTGTTCCTATTTTCCCAAAATGGACTCAGGCAGGTGCTGACTTTGGAGATGGACCTAGGCTTTCTAGAACCAGGAAATGTGACTAGGATGCTAGGTTCATGCTCTGGATCTTAACACATGCAATGCCCAGGCTTCCCCAGCCCCGAAAGTATCAAAAAGACAAATCCTTGTCTAGAACCTCACCCTCTACAATAGCTCTTAATGTACATTTGGCTGTCAAACTGTTCTAATGTCTGGTGTTGGGTCTTTCTTTGCCCCCAGGGCCACCATGTGCACTAAGTGATGCTGTAGTGTCCCCGGCTTGCATCATCATGAGTGTGGTGACCAAAGATGATGACAGGTGATATCATGTGGACTGGGCCCAATGGAATGGACCCAAGGTGAGAATAGATGATGTGTGGGAAAATCTGGCTACAGTCCCTGCTGACCTTAGAATGGGGGCGTCTCCAGGAGCCAGGGGAGAGGTGGGGAGACTTTGGTTGCTAGATACTGCTGGCTGCTGTGTGGTAGAAGGGATCACCCATGAGCGACCAGGGCATGTGGGCAAAGCTGGACGATTGTCTTTCCAGCTCTTGTATCACCACTAACCTGGGTTTCTGAAGACTCTGTCCCCATCTGGGAATAAACTGTCACTTTTCTTTCAGGGTTAGCTGTACCAGACTCTTGTCTTCAGAGGTTGCCTACTTGCCATGCCTCCGATAAATTTCATTATTTCCTCCACAGTCCCAGTCCCCAAAGGTACCTATCCTTTCCACATGCATACTGTTGTAGTTGTGTGTCTGTGTGTGTGTGTGTGTTTGTGTTGTGTGTGTGCACGTGTGTGGGTGGGCATGTGTACATGTTACGCACATACCCACCACTTTCATCTCCATAGCAGTCCCTCCTCTGCCTGTTCCTTTTGACCCCTCCCTCACCAATGACCATGATATGGCTGCTTCCACCTAGTTGGAGAATGTTGTCACTCTGGGTCTCATCCAACCGATGATCCTCTCTCAGATGAGCTCCCCTATGTACCACCTGCCAGGCCTTTGTCTCTTTGAGGTCCCCAAACCACCTGTGCCATGCTATTGCTGCTGGGGCCACCATGCAGCCAGGCCCCAGGCATGGCCTCTTCATAGAACAAGCCAGACTTTTCTCTTCTGCCTGTGTGGTCCTTCATTTTCTCCTGACAGTGCCTACAGATCACAAGGCTGCCTTTGACCAGCATGGAGTGCAAATACTCCAGAACTAAGAACTTTGCTCCTCTAAGTGTGCTCCTGTGCCCTCTCTGAACCTAGACTCCATGAGGACTGGATGGACTGTGTCTTCAGATGTTAAAGTCCAAATTCAATAAAGTGGAGCCTGATTTGGAGTAGGATCTTGTAGAGATCAGAAGTTGAAGCCACACTGGAGATTGTTGAT